ATTATATAATACATTTAAAAAGGAAAAAAATGTCCTTTTATTGTTTAATTGACTGTAAAATTCATGTTTAAAAGACTCTTCTATGTTTCATTGTTTCAGCTGCAGCCTCAGTGGTGTTTAACAGTCTGATAGTAAAGATTCAAGTAAAGGCTTACAAACAGATCTGAGGTCAGCAAGTACAAACAGGTGTTTTAGGATCATACATTAAAGCATAAAAGCAACAATAATTTAAATGTTAAATTATTTGGAGCCAACAAAAAAGCACGTCTCGCATTCTCTCTTATGTCATCAAAGTGATGCAGTGAAACATGTATTCAGTAAACTTTAAAGACGATGGCGATCACAACGAATGTGCTGAGATCAGTTTGTTCTCTTTGTTCTCCTTGATAAAACCAGTCATCTTATACTGTGATTTACTCAGGACAGTGGCACCTTCCTGAGTGTTCCAGTTCATTATAATCATTAATACTGATTTAAGTAAACATTGTGTTTAGGATGAGAAAAATGTGAAAAGGTCTCTGTCACAACTAAATCAGAGTAAGCAAACAAATTTTAAACAAAAACATACTATTCAGGAAAATGTTAGTTGTTTTTCTTTTGTCATTCAATAAACAACAGCACGGTTCACGGTCCTTAATCCTCATCGAAGTTCCTCTTACAGAAACTCCCCCTCCTCTGTCTCTCAGTCCCCCAGGTGGAGGTGGATTCAAGGGTGGAGTCTGTCCAGCTGCCCTTCAACACCACACTTCACCTGCCTGAAGACTCTAAAGTGGAGTGGACGGACAGTTTACACAGGAAGGTCCACGTGTATGAGAACGGCTCTGACCAGCCTGAAGAACAGCACCAGGCTTACAGAGACCGAACGAAGATGAATGAAGACCTGCTGAAAACTGGAGACCTCAGTCTGACCCTGAAACACCCCACAGATAGAGACAACTACACCTGCACCGTCTACAGCAGGGAGGGAAACATCCTGCTGAAGAGAAAGGTGGAGCTGAAAGTCAGAGGTCAGTGCTGAGTGGAAAGACTTTTTTTAAAACTAGATTTTCAAACCATGTCTGGTAAAACCAGAACAACAGTCACCTCAAGGCACTGAAGGTAGACCCTTCAATAATACATAAAGAGAAAACCCCAACAATCATATGACCCCCTATGATCAAGCACTTTGGTGACAGTGTAAAGGAAAAACTCCCTTTAAACTAGGCTCAAGGAAGGGCAGCTACTACTACTACTACTACTACTACTACTACTACTACTACTACTACTACTACTCCGCCCGGTTGTAGTTGATCAGTGTGTTCTGTGTATAAAGTTTGATACAGATCAGTTTAATTTAAGCATGAGTTTAATTAAGACTGCTGCTTTACTGTCCAGAGTCACAGAGTTACAAAGATGAAGAGTAGAGATTTTACTCTGAACTGTTAATACATCCACAGAGTAACTGCTGTCTCTATCCTGAGATTACTGCAGATTTTAATTTATTCTAGCAACATGAGCACTTTATTATCAAATTAATGTCTTATTCGGATTTTAGTGTGTCTGAAATTTTGCTTTTCTGCAGATTAATTTGATAGGATAGGCTTTGGCAGCGACTCTATGAATGAGAAAATGAATGGGACAACCCGATATCAGGACAAAGGGTGAAATACTGGACCACATTTAGTCTCTATAAAACATGGACACGCCTGCATAAGTTGCTTTACTGCATACAGAAAATGAATTAGCAGCAGGGGAAATGGTACATTTGAAGCCAAGAAGTTGGTAATTATCAAAAAACATATAAATCAAGAGCTTCACTTTTACATTCAGCTCTCTCTTCACGACAAGGGTTCGGTACAGTGTGCGCATCACTGCAGCACCAATCCATCTGTCGATCTCCTGCTCCCCTCTCCACTCACTCGTGAAGAAGACCCCGAGATTCTTAAACTCTTCCACTTGGGGCAGTGACTCATCACTGAAACAGAGTGGACAGGCCACCCTTTTTTAGCTGAGGACCATGGCCTCAGACTACAAGGTGCTGATTCTCATTCCAGAGAATGGCTTGGTCTGGCAATCTGGACCAAGCTCTTGCAATGGTTCTATAAGGACTGAATGGCCAGTTGTGATGGGCCAGACACCCCATACTCCCCCTCTAGTTGGAGCGCACCCTCTGGTCCCCCTTCTTAAAGATGGGAACTACCACCACAGGTACCGCCCCTGATGTCCATGCGACATTGTAGAGAGAGGTGTCAACCAAGACAGCCCGAAACATCAAGAGCCTTCAGGAATAAAGGCAAACCTCATCCACCCCAGGGGCCCTGCCAACAAGGAGTTGTTTAACCCTCTTAGTAACCTGTGAGTGAGACTGCTTTCTCTATGGAACACGCATCAGAGGGATTAACTCTCTGGGGTCGATGGAAACGCCGGCGCGTCCAAATGACAATTGACCAAAATGACCAATTTAAGATGTCACAGCAACAAGATGCAGCCACGCTGAGTCTCCATTTCAGCTTGTGTTGAAAGTGTTGTCTTGAAACTATATACCAGTTTTTAAATTGTGTTGATATGCGACGAAAAACCAAAGTTATCATAAAAGATATACCCATCTATTCTCTTCCACTTATCCTTGTCAGGGTCAAGGGGGCCTGGAGCCTATCCCAGCTATCTTAGGGCAAGAGGCAGCGTACACTCCGGACAGGTCGCCAGTCTGTCACAGGGCTAACACAGAGAGTCAGACAACCATTCGCACTCATATTCACACCTATGGGCAATTTACACTTACCAATTAACCTAACCCCACTAAGGCTACGTTCACACTGCAGGTCTTAATGCTCAGTTCCGATTTTTTGATCAAATCCGATTTTTTTTGTCTGCTCGTTCACACTACAAATAAAATGCGACAGCAAACACGCTCTAGTGTGAACGCTCAAAGCGCCCGCATGCGCAAAAGAAGACGTCGCACACAACGAGCTCTGTTTAGACCCAGAACAACAGTATTGTTTGACTGATGGCCTTTAATATAAAGACTTGTTTCACACTGTACGTTTCCCAATTTTGCTTTAAGTTATAAAGTTATTTTGTTATTTACATATGACCTAATAATTATTCTTAAAATGTTCACGTTGTCTTCCCAACAGTTTCACTAACATCTACACTGGATGGCCAGGAAGCGTTCGCGATGTCTTCTCCGGCGCTGATAATTGGCGTCTGTCTTGTGTCAGTGACATAAAAGACGGATTTAATGCGACATGACCATCAAACAGCAGTCGCTTTCTAAAACATCGGATATGTATCGATTCAGGACCACATACGAAAGTGACCCAGATCGGATTTGAAAATATCGGATTTGTGCTGTTCACACTGTCACACCATGATGGGATAGATGGGTCGCATAGGGTCAAAAAAGTCGGATTTGATGCGCTTTCGCCTGCAGTGTGAACGTAGCCTAACTACATGTCTTTGGACTTTGGGAGGAAGCTGGAGTACCCGCAGAGAACCCACGCAAACACAGGGAGAACATGCAAACTACGCACAGGAAGACCCCGGCCTGATGGTGGAATTGAACTCAGGATTTTCTTGCTGGCAGATAACAGCACTGTTACCAGTGATGTTTTTACTGCGGGAAGAAACGCTAAAAATGCCATTTTCTAAGGACAGTTTTCTTTTATTATTTTATTTATTCAGAGAGGAGGGAACAGGAATAACTAAACACCTTTTAAAATTGTACCATAAACATATTCATTTTAAACTAAAATCAAGAATAATCCCTCAATAAAATGCCCTAAACCCAGGAAGAACAAACAAATGCTTTTCTGAAGCTTGGACCATGCCAGCCTAATACTAGGATGACAAGGAGGAACCTCTTATATCTGCCCTGTTTCTCCATTGGGCCCATTGCAGCACAACCCAGCTGCGCATCACAATTTGAGTCCCCTGCTCACTGCAACAATGGCCTCCCTCATGACAACGCCCTGTAAACAACAGACACTGGTCAGAAATGTTATCTGTGAAGCTGATCACCACTGCGACCCTCCAACAAGGCTGCACCCGGTGAACGACAGTGGTAAACAGTACTCACAGATACAGGACGAGGTTCTGCCCTTCGATCACACACTTTGTTTCCCACTGGTCACCATTTCTCTTGCTGGAAATCCAAGTGGTCGCTCAGGGAGTCGGTGTGTTTGCTCAGACAGATGAAAAATCACAGGGAACATTGCTGGTAACCCTGTCCTGGGCAGAGTGAACTGTTCCCAGGGATCTACTGAATCGCTCTTTGACTGGTCCCTCACACAGGACCATACGAGACCCTATCAGAAACAGGGCCCAGGTTTGGAGTGGAGCTTGTTGTTGGTGTGTGAAGAAACTGTAAGTTTTCTTTGTTTCCTCCTTTAACAGTTCGTCTTCAGGAACTTTACTGTTTGTTTAGCTCATGTTTGATTTCTTCACACAACAAACTGTTTGTGTTTGTATTTCCGGTCTCTCCATCAAAGTCAGTCTGTAATGTTTCCTGGCTAACATCAGCTGTGTGCAGCTTAGTTCCAGCACAAATCTGCCGCTCCATAGTTCACGATAACAGACTCACAGCTGGACCAACGAGGTGTGTCTGCCACTCTGAGCTACTTTCGTGTTTGTGTTCTGTTTGTACTTTGAGTTCACTCAGTCCACAGAGGACGCAGTACGTGATGACGTCACAGTCCTTTACTGTCACTGTGAATAATATTTACACACCACATGTGTGTAACACTAAGCTAAAGCTAAGCTAGCCAAGAGCCCAGAGTGATGTTAAAGCTGAGTAAATGCTGACCCCAGACCAGCACCGTGATAAAGTTCGCTGCTGCTGAACCTGAACAGGTAACAAAGTGTTGAGCAGTCAGGCTGCAGGTTTATGGAATAAACATATATTCTTAGTCCTTATTTTTTGATTATATTGTTTTATGTATTTTAATAATAAAGGCTTGTAAAGATAGGCCACTTTTGACTCACAAACTAAGTGCTCAGCCAGACTGAAAAACAGGAAGTTAGTGTAGAGCTGTACAAGCATATAAATAAATACAGGAAACCAGACACAAAAAAGAGGAACTAGTAACATATAAGGAGTTGTTTGCATCGAAACTATGTGTGACGTAAGATAATAACACCTATATGAGACACATTTTTAGATTCTAATGTTAGAGATTCTGCATCTGGCTTTGGGCTGTGCAGGGCTCTCTCTTCCGGAAGATGATTGAATGAAGAATTATAAATGTTTTGACCACTCCTGAGTCGAGTTTTCTCTGTTCTATCATGGGGATCAAAGAATCGGGTTTAATACTACCTGTTCATGTTTCTACAGTAGAATCACTTTGAAGTTTCTTTGGGCTGTTTTCATCTTTCATTTGTGTTCGTAAACACTCAAAGAAAGATATAACGTGCGTTATATAGGATGTGTGTTGGTTTGTGGGGCTGTAGCCTCAGCTTTATATTGTTACATGGTCATTATCATTGTATGATCTGTTTCATAGAGTCTAACCAGCCTGTACAGTTAACAACAACAGTCACTGCATCACTGACACACAAACCTCATCTCTGTCAATAAAAACATTCATACATGGAATAAAATCACATCAGTGGATCATTGCTGGAGCTGCCTGGACTTCAGTCTTCAGGATCTCAACCAACAGCGTCAACATGCTGCTCCAGATGTTTGTGCTCCAGATGTTTGTGCTCCTGGTGAAAAGGCTCTCAGCTTCCTCCTTTAAATAAATGTTTATATTGTTGTTATATTGCTGACCCACTATTGATCATGTGACTCATCACGTGATCAATAGTGGGTCAGCGACCCTCTTTCTTTCCCTCAGGTTTAAATATCTGGGACTCTCCTCCGTTTGGTTTTAGAACTTAAGAAGCTTCTCGGATGAAACGTCTTAAAGAAACTTAAAGAAGCCTCTCTTTTCTCTCCAAGCTCCTTAGATCATATGACCTGGATGGCTGAGAGCCTACAGACATATTGACCTGGTTTCTAGGTTACATGACAGGTCAGAGGTCAGCGACTGTAACTCAGTTACTCCTGTTAATGTGAACTCACTGAGTGTTTGTGGTTTACCTCTCAGACTGACTGAAGATGATGATGGAGGAAGAGGAGGACAGAGCAGAGTCTGCAGGGTCCAGCTGTCCGTCTGTGAGGAGTGACCGGTCCAGAGATCAAAATCCAGACTTCAGTGCTGAACCTGGACCAATGAGGTCAGAGAGCTGAACTCACTGAGTTAACATAAATAATTCTGCACTGACATTATAATTAGTGTGGATTCTGGTTGATTGTCTGACTGTGTTTGTGAGCTGAGAGGAAATGAAAATGAATTTGTAACAAAAATTTGTTTTGTCCAGTTTTCCTGTAAAAAGCTGAACTCTAATCTAAGAGGATGTTACTGTCAGGAAACAGCTGCATTATCTGCAATCTGTGTCATCACAGCTGCTTCAATCACTTGATCATGTTTGTGTCTGCAGAGTTCAGAGGTCACAGTCTGCAGGATCCAGCTGTCCCTCTGTGAGGAGTGACCGGTCCAAAGATAAACCTCCAGCCTTCAGTGGCGAACCTGGACCAACGAGATCAGAGAGCTGTGATGACTCCTTTGCATGTTTGTGTTTCACACCTGGACTTGTCCCTCCGCTTCCTCCTGGGTCTTTCACTGCAGACCAGTCAGAGTCTCCTACGAGGTCTGCTGACACAGACAGGAAGTAGCTCACAGACCAATCATGAAACAGTCCAGTACATCAAGGAGAAGCTCAGAACCAATCTGTCTGCAGAGAAAAGCATCAATCTGTTCCACTGTATGAATGAACTGAATGATCGTTCTCTGCTGGAGGAGATCCAACAGTCCCTGAGATCAGGACGTCTCTCCACAGATAAACTGTCTCCTGCTCAGTGGTCAGCTCTGGTCTTCATCTTGCTGTCATCAGAAAAAGATCTGGATGTGTTTGACCTGAAGAAATACTTTGCTTCACAGAAGGCTCTTCTGAGGTTGCTGCCAGTGATCAAAGCCTCCAACAAAGCTCTGTAAGTACAGAAGGCTTGCAAAAGTATTCGGCCCCCTTGAACTTTTCCACATTTTGTCACATTACAGCCACAAACATGAATCAGTTTTATTGGAATTCCACGTGTAAGACCAGTACAAAATGGTGTACACGTGAGAAGTGGAACAAAAATCATACATGAATACAAACATTTTTTCAGGGTTTGTACGGGTGCTTGAAATCCTTGAAAATGCTTGAATTTTAATATTGTGTTTTCAAGGTTTGAAAAGTGTTTTAATTTCAGATGTGGTGCTTAAAAGTCCTTGAAAGTGTAGCTGTATTTCATTCACCACAAATAACTATCTGACTGAATAGTCAAAGGAGCTTGCAAAGAAAAGCGTCTGGACTTCTTTAAGTTGCTTGAAGACGTTTCACCTCTCATCCGAGAAGCTTCTTCAGTTCTAAG